TAGGGTATTTAGAAATTATCAACTCAAAGGAATTCCATTTCCAAACCAACAAGGAATGAGAATATACTCTAGCCTTTGGAATGCAGATGAATGGGCAACAAGAGGTGGACGTGATAAAATTGATTGGACAAATGCACCATTTATTGCAACATATCGTAAGTTTAGGCCAAGAGCTTGTTATTGGAATGGACCATTGAGTATTGTTCAATGTGCTATTCCTACTAAATCCAATTGGTGGAATTTTCCTTTATACAGTAAATTGAGTGCTCCTAAAGTGGATCAAATGAACTCAATTAGGAGCAAATACATGATTTATGATTATTGCAAAGATACTACACGATTTAAGGGAGTTATGCCTACTGAGTGTACATTGCCACAAAACTAGAAGGATGTCAATATTGAAACGATACAGGAAAGATTAGTATGGACTATACGCAAGGATGACACATGAATCGAGAAGGACGTCAAAGTGAAAGCTGCACTTTTTCCATTTTCTTATTTTGCTTCTCATGTTTGTTATTTTTTGTTATCAATTCTTTCTTTTTGGTTGTTTTCCGCAAGAAGATCTTGCTGAGTTGATCTGAGTTATGTATCTCATTCTTTTCTAATAAAATTTGAATGTTTGTATTAAGCTCCATCTCAAGGTCCATATTTTGTGAAAGGATCATCATCTACTATGAAGAACTAGCCTAAATTGTCATTCACCTAATCACTTAAATTAAAAATAGCAGGCAAATGTATAATATATGTATATTTCATATATAATATATGTATCGCCTTGTATTATCAGTGTATAATTATGTATAACAACTAGAAAAAATAAATAGTAAATCAATCACTATTCGCGTAAAGATCCCATCTACCATTAGTCATCCATAACTATATATTTTTAAAAAAACAAACAGTGGAAAGCAAATTATAGCAAGGAGACTCTGATAATCTAAATTTTAAGACTTCTTATATACGCTAAAGTATTTTTGCAATGTTGCAAAACAACGCTATGACGATTTTGGAGCACTAGTTACACTTTTTAATTTATTTGGACACTTCAAATAATTAATCAACTTAACAATACTTTTTATTTTGTAACAATTTAAGCCAACCATTGTACTTCTTGATATGAGGCTCCAATTTTGTAAAGAATTTATGATGTTTATTGGCTTATTTTATATTTTGAGTAAATATAGTGTCATCAAATATTATCCTATAAATATGAAGAGAAAAAAAATCAAATTAACGTNGGGGGGAAATAGAATTTAGTTTATAATATTTCTTATTTGAACATGGAAAAGAGAAATCTTCTTTGAGCCCCGTGCATACAAGACCGGCTCTAATGTTCTACCTACTAAGGCTTGTGCCTTAAAGCCCCCCAAATTTGGGGTGCCCATTTTTCAAAAATAACCGATTTATAGGTACTTTAAAATAATACTCCTTCCGGTTCAAAATAAGTGATTTTTTGGATGTTTTCATACAGATTAAGAAATTCATCTTTTAGCATTAATTAGCAATAGAATTGACCATATTAACCTTTTATCTCACATAAACACTCCTAACACATATTCCAACACTATTTACTCCAAGGACAATGTAGGAAAAAAATTAATTCATTCATTCTTGAAATCTGGAAAAATCACTTATTTTGGACTACAAAAAAATAGCCAAAAAATCACTTATTTTGGACTAGTGGGAGTAATATTTAGTACTTTTAATATAAATGTAGACTTTTCATATAGAAAGAAGGATATTTTTTAGATATTTAAATAAAGTAATCCTTTGACTTACTTATAAATAGGTAGCGTGGATAATTTTTCTAACATCTAAATTTGATGAATTAAAACTGTTAATATACTCCAATATATATATTGAATTAAGTAAAAAGACTTTGATTCTTTTCCAAATGCTTATATTGTCCAAGACCAATAATACCTTAACAAAAATTTAATGTGTGGCCAAATTATTAATTGAAAATGAATTATTAAGAGAAAACGATTATAAGAAAATTGTTAATAATTTTGCATCTCAAAAAGTTAGAAAAATAGACTTTAAATAAAAATATATTATAATCTTTTTTTTTTTTGGAAAAATTAGGCCTCACATTAAATTTTGACTTTAGGTCACGTATATGTATATGCCGCCTTTGCAAGTACAAAGTCACTTTTATTAGGGTGTGTTTACTCTTAAGTTCTAACATAAAATTTCGAGCGTAAATTTGAATTTAATCATCGAATGAGAAACCAAAAGAAGAGGGATTTACATCTATACCCGCTTTTTGTGTCACGTTTTAACTTATGTCCGCTTTGCAAAAAAAATTGCAAGCGTACCCGCTTTTTCGCATAACTTTAGCATATGGGGCTGAAGTAGCAAAGGCAATCACGCAAAACTTCAGCCTTTCTAGTAGACGGGCCTAAAGTTTAACTCTAGAGCTGAAGTTTTTGTTTTGTAACTGGCGAACTTCAGCTCTAGAGCTGAAGTTTTTATTTTTGTAACTAGCAGTTTTGTTTTACAACTGTCGAACTTCAGCTCTAGAGCTGAAGTTATTTAGTTCAATTGTAAAAACGTCAGCACTGTATAAGCTATTACTCATTTCCTAAAAAAACTAATAACGTACTCATCAACATGAGCACTACTATTGTGGAGAATATCTGAGACAAGCATAAGCCGGGCAACTTTTGTTGGTATTGGAGTTTCATTAAGCGTCAAAGACTCCGTTAGAATTTCAGCTACCTGCAACTCAGTAGCAACAGGGTAACTGTTTCAGGAAAATACAATGGAAACAATTACGATCACAGGATCCCTCAATTCATTCATGGTCCTATTTATTACAATTACAATTAATGTTCAAGTCTCATCTTTATGCTAAATAATATTTTTAAAAAAACTTCAAAGAACTGATATAAATGCATTTGGAAAACGGGTTGGAGATATATTGTAACCGAAAGAAGAAAAAGAAGAAGAAAACGAAGGAGGAGAAAGAGGAGGAGAAAATGGGCTGAATTTATTTAAAAAGTGGATACAAATTAAAAAAGAATTTAAAAAAATGGGTATAGGTTAAATGAGAACGACCAAATAGGGCGCCTCGTGCAATTTTTACAAAAGTTATTTTAGTTGATAACTTGCTAAGTCGAGCCTTTTCATTAGTCTGATGCACGTCATTTTATAACTCCAAGCCGCGTCCCAGCTGTAAAACAAACGTCAAATTCTATAAAATAAAACACTTTCACACGAAGTATTAAGTCAAGAAAAGAAAATTTAATAATAAGTTAACCTAAAGCTCTTCAATTTGTGACAAATGATCATTGATCAGCAAGAAATAAATTAATTTAGATTTGTATATAAGGGGAGCATTGGAGCAACGTTAAATTTGTTTTTGTGTGACCTATAGGTCACGGTTTCGAGCCGTGGAAGCAGCTACTAATGCTTGCATTAGGGCAGACTATCTAATTCATACCCCTTGGGATGTGGCCTTTCCCTGGACCCTGCGTGATTTGTATATAAGAGGAGCCTTGAAACAACAGTAAAATTTTCGTGTGATGACCTATAGGTCACGGGTTCGATCCGTGGAAGTAGCCAATAATGCTTACATTAGAGTAGGTTGTCCACATTATCCCTTAAGGTGCGACACTTTCCGAATCCTGTGTGAAGGCGAAATGTCTTGTGCATCAGACTGCTCTTTTTAAATTTATATATACATGGAAAAAAGACTTTATTAGTTAATATTTCTTATTTGAACATGGAAAAGAAAAATCACCTTCGATTATTAGAGAATGTTTTATTTCTATTATGAGTTTTTGGCGCGAATTTGAATTTAATAACCGAACGTAAAACGAAAGACCCTATGGTTTAGTTGTTAACTTGCTACGTACATCTGGCCAAGTCGAGCCTTTTCATTAGTGTGATGCACGTCATTTTGTAACTCCAAGCCGCGTCCTAGCTGTAGGCTACTACTTCTGTTTTGCAATCTTTTCATATTCTTCTAACAATTACTCCAATTATATTCTCCAAATATATTTTCATGTAAAGAATATATAGATATATTCTAGCTGCTATATTCCTTCATTTAATGCCAATTTTTTTCTCATGAATTACGGCAACCTTTCTAAAAACCAAAAAAATAATATTATTCCGTTTGTCCCAATTTACATGGTGCACAACATTTAAGAAAGAGAAAATAACTTTTAAAACTTATGGTTTAAAACAAGTTATAAATATTTATGTAATTGTAAATCACCTCATTAGGGCAAAATAAAAAAAATTAAATTAAATTATTTCTAAATAATAAAATATGACGGTCATTTTTGAACAGAATAAAAATGAAAGTATGACGTATAAATTAAAACAAATGAAATATTAAGTACGATATTTAAATACTTTTATGCCCCTCCACCTAATTTCTCCTTAATTATTGGAAGCAAAATATGTGCTGCAAATCCAAGCTGATCTGTAAACCTATAGGCTATAACTAAGGATATGGAAATCAAGACGTGGTCAGATCATCTACATTCTCTATAGGGTTTTTCTCATAATGGTATTATTTAATTTGATTATGACATGTATAAAAACATGGTCATATTCCTAAGAAGAAAAACACACAATTAATTTCCAGGTTTAATTTGCAGAATTAAGAGAAGCAAGAAATCTATTACAGTTCCATGTTCAAAATTATGGCCAGCTCTCGACTTCTTTCTTTGTCTAATTTGTTCATTTTGGCAATTGCATTTCATTTGGTTTCAGTCAATGGAATGTTCTCAGATAACATGTATATTAACTGGGGTGCCCATCATTCTTGGATGCAAGGAAATGATCTTCAGCTTGTCCTTGATCAATCCGCAGGTAAAGTTTCATTTACCTTTTCTTTTGTATGTTTAAACTTGTCGCATATGTCGCAACTGTAAAGTTGTCTCAGTGTGACCTATAGGTCAAGGGTTCGAGCTAGGGAAGCAGCCACTAATGCTTGCATTAGGGTAGGTTGTCTGCATCATACCTTTTGGATACAGCCCCTTCCCGGACCCTGCATGAATACGAAATGTTTTATACATCGGGCTTCGTATGTCAAAAGTTTCTAATAGCATTTAATTTATATATAGTGACACTATCTTCCTTTTAACATAAAATAGACAGATGAATTGGTATATTTATTGAATTCGTCAAAACTTACTGAGCTGACCTCGGAGTTTTATCAGGCTTTCATTTTTTGAGTGGTTTCTTTGTTCTCTATTTGGATGGGAATAAAGCAAAAAAACTTCTCTTTTTCTATTCTTTATTTTTGTTTTATCCCTTTGACGAATTTCGACTATGGTAATGCGCCACTATTTAGGCGTAAGAAAAACTTTACCTGAAAAAGCAAAATGCACCTAATGTTTATTTTTTACCCTATCAATGTAATTTAACTCGCTATAACAAATTACCTCTCTTATTTTCATATTACTACTAATTGTTTCACTCATTATGAAATTACCTGTAAATATTTTACCCTGTTAGAGTATAGAAGTTAAACTTTTCATGATAAATGGTTTGTCAAAATAAGGCTCAGCAAAAGTTTAATCTAATCAAAAACTAGGAAGTAAAAACAGAATTCACAGATTGACTAGAAAGTTTTCCAACTTCTGCCTAAATATAGCATAATCAAGATCCCATTCCAACCCCTCCCCCCCCCCCCCACCCCACATTGATTTTTGCCTTATTGGATTATGTCACTCAAAAAAAAATGCTACTTTGGTTTACATTTTCAGGTTCGGGTGTACAATCAAAAGGAGCATTTCTTTTTGGAAGCATAGAAATGCAAATAAAATTAGTACCTGGAAATTCTGCTGGAACAGTCACAGCATACTATGTAAGTGTTAGCTTAAATACTCAATAGACAACACTATAACAAATGATCAAAGCCTTTTTCCTGCTTAATTCTGTTTATAATTTTTTCAAATAGATACCATGAGAAGTGTCTGATTTCTGTTTATTTTTCCACAGTTGTCATCTACTGGTGACAAGCACGACGAGATCGACTTCGAGTTTTTGGGAAATGTATCAGGGCAACCATATATTATACACACAAATATTTTTACTCAAGGTGCAGGAGGCAGGGAACAACAATTCTATCCGTGGTTTGATCCAACTGCTGATTACCATAACTATACCATTCATTGGAACCCCAGTGCAGTTGTGTAAGTCGTTCTATTCCATAAATTTTCCTAATAGTCCAGGGGCGGATTTAGGATTTTAAGAACATGAGTACACCATTAGGATAAGAAAAGAAGTATATTTAGTGTGAATTGATCTCTCTTCCTTTGGGTAAATAACTCAGCATTTGACCAAATGCATCATTTAACATTTTTGGAAAATTGGAGCCAACAGATAATAATAGATCAGTTCTAGGAAATATATAATACATAAAATATCAAGTTTGACGAAAAGTCCACGGGTCCACGTGTACCGCAATTTGGGCCTAAATCTGCCCTTGTCTAACACTAAAAACACAAAACACCCAATTTTCTCAAAATTCCTAAGTGCCTTAGCTTCCACGCAGACATGGATGTAGCATGTCTACCATGGATTCAGTACATATTCGATACAGAATATAGATATCTTCGTAAAAGTTTAGTACTAAAATTTCAACAAATATCATATTCTGACAATAAGTTCGGCACCAAGAACCTTAAAAGTTGAACCCATCAAGTTTAAATCATGGATTTGCCGCTGTCTACAGATTAGTAGCCAGGTAGTTCTTGACTCATTGTTTAACCATTCAACAAATATAGATTCTGACAATAGGTTCAGTGCTAAGAACCTTAAAAGTTAAACTTATCAAGTTTAAATCCTGGATTTGCCGCTGTCTACAGATTAGTAGCCAGGCAGTTCTTGATTCATTGTTTAACCATTCATGTTACAGATGGTACGTTGACGGTATACCAATCAGAGTATACAAGAATTATCAGAGCCAGGGAATTCTCTATCCGAACGCACAAGGAATGAAGGTTTACTCTAGCCTTTGGAACGCCGATAACTGGGCAACCAGAGGCGGCCTTGACAAGATTGACTGGACCAATGCTCCATTTATAGCCAAGTACAGAAATTTCGCGCCGCGAGCTTGTCCCTGGTATGGACCAGGTAGCATTCGCCAATGTGCTGCTCCAACTCCAAATAATTGGTATACTTCTTATGAGTATAGTCAATTGAGCTATGCTAAGCAAGGGCAAATGAATTGGGTAAGGAACAATTACATGATCTATGATTATTGTAAAGATAAGACGCGATTCAATGGACAGATTCCAGGAGAATGTTTTAAGCCTCAAATCTAACAAGTGAATTGAGTTCGTTGGGATTCCCATTTGTGGGAATATACTGAGTTTGTTATTATTGTTGTTGAGTTGAGTCCGCTGGTATACTTTGTGCAAAAGATGTACTATTATACTCTTTTTTCCTGATTCATATTGTAACAATTCATTCTTTTTCCTGTTTTATTACCAAGAAATTATATGTATGCCATTCTTTTTACAAATGTTGTTTTTGTTGGTGTATTTGTGTTTTACAAATGTTGTTTTTATTGCTGTATTTGTTTTTACAAATGTTGTTTTTGTTGGTGTATTTGTCTCTGAGAAGTTTATGTATATCATTGGTCAAGACGAACTCGTAGATGAAACTCTAGCTCTGTCCAACAAAAAAAAAAAGAAAAAAAAAGGGAAGGGCGGGGGAGAGGGGGGGCGCCAAACACAAGAAAAGATTGTCATTTTAATTCAGGATAATAAACAAATAGAACAGTTAATGGTCAAAATACAATGAAAATTGATTTGTTTATACTCACGGCTTATTCATTTCAAGGTTCAATTGGATTCTCAAAAGACTTAAGTTGCAATTAGTTGCACCATTTCCACCCTACGATGTAACGAAGTACTTAAAACAAAAACACAACCTGTAATCTATTACGAAGATAATGAATACACATCCTGTATTCCCCTCTAGACGCAACGGCTGGACTTATAATGAAAGATAAGAATATTTGTTTGGTTGCAAAAGATTGAAATTATATAAACTAAAAAGGCAGCTCGGTGCACTAAGCTCCCGCTATGCGCGAGGTTCGGGAAAGGCTGGACCACAAGGGACTATTTAAAATGATATTAATATGACTTGTAAAAACTCGACGTGTATGCAAGTAGGCCAGAATACCATTGTTAGAAAAATATAAAAATTGTAATTTATTATAAATTTTCTATAATTTCTAAATATGTAAATTGCATTAAGAAACAATAAGAAATAGAATTTTTAATTCACATTGTAAATGTGTCTATAAATTCTAATTTATACAGCAACAACATACTCAGTATGTTCCCATAAAGCGGGGATAGATTTTAATTTATATGGCATTTTTTTTGGTTTCTCACCCGGTATCTGATACCCTTATTGGAGCCCGATTATATCCGGATTCGCGTCGGGTAGGGCCCCATTTGGGAGGTAGCGCTCCCTACCAAGGATTTTTTTATACACAAGACTCGAACTTGAGATATCTGGTTAAGGGAGGAGCAGCTGCCACACCTCCTTTTTCCGCCCTCGCGGGGGTACAGGGGTTTTTTCCAATTAAAGGACAGTCGAAACGGGATTTGTTTATTTATTTTAGAGTCGCCACTTGGGAGATTTAGGGTGTCCCAAGTCACCAGTTTAATCCCGAATCGAGGAAAAGAATGACTCTGTATTACAGTCCGCGAACTAGAAATCCGGATAAGGAATTCTGTTAACCCGGGAGAAGGTGTTAGGCATTCCCGAGTTCCGTGGTTCTAGCACGGTCGCTCAACTGTTATATTTGGCTTGATTATCTGATATAATACGTATTATAAACTTATGTGCAAAATTTATCCCTTAGCCGCTTTTATTATTATTATTATTATTTTATTTATTGTTATTATTTTACGAAGAATTGCAACATTGTGAAAACGTATTTCAAATCACGTCGCAATCAATGCACCCGTGATTATCGACACATTTCGACTCCGTTGAGATTTAGATATGGGTTACATAAATGCACACCCGTATTTAAAAAAATAACATTATTAAATACGCGCCTAGAGCGACTAGCGTATCATTATTTTGGGTAGGGCCGTGAAATTTGCTAAAACGGCTCCTCCCTAATTCTAAGCGATTAAATGTACATTTATTGAGGGCCCCGCAATCTATACATTTCATTAAGCGAGGCTCATCTCATTTATTTTAAATGGAAAAATCTTAAAACGACTACATTTTTCTATAAAAATTCTCTAAAATAAAGAAAGAAAATCCTAATTAATTACTAGCTTTTTATTATTTTAAGAAAACATGACATGCTAATTGCTTGATTAATACAAATATTGATGAAAAAGGAATTTTACTCTTAATTTCGAAATTATAAATAAAATAAAAATTCAACAACTAATATTCAAAATAAACAAATATAGCTAGATTAAAACTCAGCATTGTTATTATTTTTTTTAAAAAAAAATATTATTGAGATTAATTATTTACAATCATTTGAAACTAGATTTAACCATAATTACTAAAGTTTATTAGAAAATTTATTAGACTTAAACATTCTTCTAATCTTGCTTAAGCTCAAGTCATGCCTTAATGCCTAATTTACGATGTTTAATTTAAATTCGTGTCTTAGCTAAATTTAGCTACTTGTTCATGATCAACCTATAATCTTGAAGCCTTCATAACTAGTGAATTAACCTATTTTGCCGAACTGATTTATTACAGACTAACTTATGATATTATTTTCTTATTCCAGTTATTATTTAGTAATTCATGAAATAGCTTAAATACAATCAACAAAAGGAACAAAGAAAAAAAAACGAAATTAAAACTTCAAATTTTCATTCTTCATATGTATTCACGCTTCATATTTCGGATTACAATAAACAGCTTTTCAGTTGTGTACCTGATATTGGAAGCAAAAGAAAATGAATATGAGAATCAGCAGCAGCAGTAAAATCAGTACAACACAGCAACAATAGCCCAGCGACAGTAACAACCCAGTAACAGACCGGTGGAGTAGTAATCCAAAAAAAAAAAAAAACTTCCAGCTTTTATGAAACAACAATTAATTCTGATTTCAAACAACAAAAGAAAACAGAATATTTTTTTTTGGTTTTTTTTTATATTTGAAAGCTTAAATATTTTTCGGAATTTTCTATCTCTTAAATGTTTAGCCCTTTTCTCTCTCTTATTTTCAGATTTGTTTCTCTCTCCCGTTTTTTTTTTGTCTGTGTATGTTTTTCTATCTATCTCTCTTCCTTTTAAATCTGATTTCAAGACTTCTTATATATAACTCATCCCATAAATCTTTTAATTAATTAAAATCAATACTTTTTCTCTACCCAACCCATTATCNCACTCATCCCCATTACATTAAATAAACATATCACACCACCCCATTATATTTTGTCCCCCATGCTTCACTTAAAATAATACAAGATTCCCCCCACTAAATTTTGTCTTGTCCCCCCTTTATGTTAAACAACTATATCACAACTCACCCCATTTTATTTTGTCTCTCATGCTTCATATAAACAATTACAAAATGTACAATTCCTAAA